CCTCCTCCCTCCCCCCCTCCCCCCCCCCACTATATATATATAGAGAAAGAGGTAGAGATTTAGTCAGGTTTCGGTTTCAGAAGCGTCATAATGGCCAGCGAAATTCAACTCAATGAGTATACAAGCCCAGAAAGTTCAGAAACGCAAAAGTATCATCCACGAAAAACGTTACGCAAAAAGTCGATCTGGCATCGTATTTTATCGAAATCCGTTTCCTCTAAAGATAGCAGAGCCTTCGAATATGGAAGACCCGAGGAGCACGACACCGAGGAGGTCATTGTTTACATGAATGACCCAGGGCAGAATAAAAAATTTCGATTTCCTACAAATTTTATCTATACTTCAAAGTATACAATATGGACATTTTTGCCCGTTGGTCTCTTTTACCAATTTTTGAATGTTAGTAACCTTTATTTTCTTGTCCATGCGATATTTTCACTAATACCAGGGGTGTCCCCGATTAGCCCGATAACTTCTATTTTGCCATTGCTGTTTGTGCTTACAGTCGCACTTTCTAGGGAGGGCGTAGAGGATATCGTTCGACATCAGGCCGACAGACGAGTTAATTCCTTGCCTGTTGAAGTACTACGGGAGGGTCGGATGGTGTCAATTCCCAGCTTCGAGCTGCTCCCGGGTGATATTATTAAGATCAGAAATGGTGACGAGATCACTGCTGATGTGATTCTATTTTCTTCTTCTATGGATGAAGGTCAAGCCTTCATCGATACATGCAATTTAGACGGTGAAACAAACTTAAAGAGTCGTAAGGCATTGGAGGCGACTTGGAACCTGTCGAGCGTAGAGGAGTTCACACAAACTTGTGCTGTCCTCCACACGACCCCGCCGGATTCCGGTCTTCTGTCGTGGATGGGTGTAATCAATATAAATGGGTGTGAACATTCCCTGTCATTGGATCAATTTCTTTATAGAGGCTGTATACTGAAAAACACGGACTGGGTATGGGGCATGGTAGCCTACACAGGCGTGAATACTAAACTATTCAAGAACTTGAAGAAGAGGCCGTTTAAGTCGTCAAGTCTAAATTGCAAGATGAACATACTTATCGTGGTCATTTTTATTTTTCAGAATGTTGTACTATTCACTTTCAGCGGATTGGCGCCTTGGTGGAACTCTGCACAGGCCGGACGCTGGTACTTGGCTTTCTATCTTAGTCGTGACGAACCCGTAAAGGTCTTTTTCTATCGATATTTGACCTACTTTATTTTGCTCAGCTACCTTATCCCCATATCGCTTTTTGTGACCATCGATTTGTGCAAGGTGGTCCAGGCCTATTGGATGCGAAGGGATTGCGAGATGATGGAGTCTGTAGATGGTAAAGTGAGAGGTTGTAGAGCTAACACTTCCAACCTTAACGAACAGCTAGCCTTAGTGAAGTTTATTTTCACTGACAAGACCGGAACTCTTACAGAAAATGTAATGCGGTTCAAATGCGGCGACGCTATTGGCGTTAGCATTGACTCTGAAAACTTACATAGCGTGTACGCTGAGTTAAACCCTGATAGCCCTCAATGTGCTTCGGTTTACGAGTACTTCATAGCATTAGCATTGTGTAACACTATACACATTTTCAAGAGTGAAGACAACCCATACGAAATCACATATGGGGGGCCCTCCCCGGATGAAAAAGCGTTGGTAGAAGCCGCTGCAGAGGCTGGCTTCCGTATGACCCAACGAACCCTCCGCTGCATCACGTTGGATATTGGGGGCAAGGAAAGGGTGTTCAATATTCTCGCCACGCTAGAGTTCACGCCTGAGCGTAAGATGATGAGCATCATTGTTGAAGACACGATTACAGGCAAGATCACTTTATATAACAAAGGGGCCGATAGTTTTGTGAAGAAACAGCTCAGCTCGGCACCTGATGTTCAGGCTAACTTCGATAAAACAGAGATCGCACTCACTAATGCAGCCTCAATGGGGCTTCGAACGCTACTAATCTGTGCCAGGGATCTGAGCTTTAGTGAATTCGAGGACTGGAACGAAAGGTTCGAGAAGGCTAACAAAATGCTACAAAACCGCAGCGCCGCTGTTGACAGTGTTTGCTTGGAGATAGAACAGGATATGAGGCTCGTTGGCATGACGGCCATTGAAGATCGTTTACAGGATGAAGTACCACAGACGCTATCTTTTTTCCTTAAGGCAGGGGTGGTTATTTGGATGCTGACAGGAGACAGGCGTGAGACGGCTGTGGCGATTGCGGCGACCACCACTCTGGTGGACCCGCGCAACGACTTCATTGACCACGTTGACATCGGCAGCCTTGACCCCTCACAACCTGAAGCACTAAGCAAAGTAAGTGCTGATTTGAAGCTTATCGAAATGCATTTGTCAATGAAGGAAACTAACCCAGGGAAGCGCTGTACTTTTGCAATAGACGGTGTGGCCTTGATGATTGCTATACGGCATTGCTATCAAGAATTTTTGTTCATCTCTCAAAGGGCTGACTCCGCTATCTGTTGTCGCCTTACGCCTTTGCAGAAAGCAACTATAGTGCGCATGTTTCAGAAAGAAACGGGCATGACGGCACTAGCCATCGGTGATGGCGTTAACGATGTGTCTATGCTTCAGGAAGGACGAGTCGGGGTTGGCATTATTGGGTTGGAGGGTGTGCACGCCGCGTTGGAGGCTGATTATGCGATTCCTCGCTTCAAACACCTGCGTCGACTCTGCGCAATTCACGGGCGGTACTCGCTCGTGCGCAACTCCCGTTGCATTCTTATGAGTTACTATAAAAATATTACTTTAGCCGTCCTCCAGATCATATTTGCCTGCTACACGGGGTTTTCAGGGATGTCGCTCTTTGATGGATGGCTTTTGGTTTTTTACAACATAGCACTTACCGCCTTACCACCGTTGTTTCTAGGTATTTTTGAAAAAGACCTGCCCGAGAGCATTTTGATGACTCGACCGGTTCTTTACGCCTCATTGGCGCAGGGCCAGTACTTTAGCTTTAGAATAATGGCAATATGGGTGGCTGAGGCACTTGTTTTGGCGCTTGTTATTTTTTACACAGCTTATCCCGTTTTGCACACAGCTATTGGGGGTCATAAAATTATTATAACCGGGTCTATCGGTAGCACAATGATTTATATAGGATTAGTTTTCGCTGTGTTACTGCGCTTCGCGCTCAGTATTCGCTGTTGGAACTTTTTTCAGGGTTTAGGTATTTTGTTATCAGCTTTAGGCACTCTTATAATTATCCTAATCTACTCGGCAATCCCAATGCTGCTTGATTCTCCGACTGTATATTGGGGCATCTTCAACTTAGCAGGCACGGCAGTTTTTTGGGGCTATCTCTTGCTGTGGCTTAGCCTTTTGCTAGGAATATTGTTGAGTGTTTTTCATTACAGAAGGCGTTTTTTCCCAACATACATAGATGCTGTTGTTTTTGAGTATAAGAAAACTCATGGAAGCCTTTAAGTACTGAGTCGTCCCACTCATCGATAGCAGACAACATCGAATACTAATCTGTGTCTCGAACTATCAAAGAGAAAAATAAAACGGATGCCTAAAAGTGGGCAAAGGCTGAGCACTTTTTCTTTTCTCTCCATTTCATGATGCCTAATAATAAACATTGAGGATTCTCATTACTTCTGTTTAATGTAGTTGCAACCATTGGATCAAGTAAATTTGGAATCGTTTGCGTAATCAAAGTATATATACATACACGTACTCACACACACGTATACATATATATATCTGTATATATGCATTCATACGGATATATATATATATATATATATATCTAAATTTTAATAAATATAAGTAAATAAATAAATAATATATATGCCTATTTGAATTGAGTCATCAATTTTTTTTCCCATTATTACATTAGCTGCTACTGTGTAATGTTTGGTTGTCACATCCCACATTTTTTACACTTTTATATTATACAATCGATTTGACATCTCTGATTTATGTGACTTCAGGTTATATCAAAAGTGAATGTGTTTATTTTTACACTTTTAGTGAACAATTTAATTAAAATCTCTTTTCATATGAGTTGGTTGAACTCATGGATGCATGCATAACAACGAAAATCGTAGTTAAATGTGGTTTTCCAACTTTTTAAAAAGTATATCAAAATATTCAGAAGAATGCAATCATAGGATCCTAGAGTAAAAGTTTTCAAGAGCCAAGGGGCAAACGAATCTCCTTTTTCTCTTCTGATATTCATTGCCCTCTTTCTCTCTTATTTTCTTTTGATGTTGCTCATGCTTTGTGTATTTAAGACCTCTCTAAATGCGCAAAATTACCATTATCATAGATTCATGTTATTTTGTGTAAATAATTAATTGTTCCCTTTGATGACGGAAACTATTATATACGTATGTGTATATATCTATGCATATATATTTATTTGTAGGATATATATAGATATACGTGTTTGTGGAATCTATAAGAGATGAACAAGAGACTCATTAGGCCGATTGGTATCTTTTAAGTGGCCCACCACTGTTCTGCGGTACCACAAATGCTCTAATTACGTTGAGCTAATTCCATGAAACGATTATTTTATGCCTTTTTCCTTTTTAAAAAACTTTGACCATAGTTATATTAGCATCAAGGAACTTAATCTGCCATCGCCTGTAGACCTACACACATGAGATTTTCGATTTACTCTATTTTTTCGGCAGTGGTGCTAATACTTAATGCGTTAGCTATTCTATCTGAAAAGCGTTTCCTTGTCAAGTTCGGACTCTGCGCTCACCAAGCACTTTATCAACAATCACAGCCACCAAGATCAGTTTTTGGTTCAGATACCGCTTCCCAGGTTACTACTGGAGTTTCTTTTGATTTAAAAGAACGCACTGAGAATCGTAATAGTTATACCAATGATAGCAATCCGATTAAACCCCCAGGAGGGACCAAGTTGCAAATTGCTGCTCTCTTGAGTTCAGTGAGAACCTTATTGCGCTGGCCTCTCATCTTTGCAAATACCTTGCTTATTGTGTTTGCTATTATAATGGGATAAACCATTTTTCATTCCGGTTCATACTGTTCTGGAGCATGATGTTACATGCGCGTAGTGTACATGAGTGATTAATTGTGAAAGCGTTCTCGCTCTTGGCGTGATGTTGTGGCATGTATTTGAACCCCCTCCAAATATATTTACCCCCTCGTATAGCTACTCATTTGTTTTAAGGGACCTGTACTTGGGTCAAGAAATGTCTCACCATGCCGTATGGTGTGAAACTGTTCATTGGGGTGTTTAGACAAGTCAGATTCGAGTTCGTTATGCTGGTGGGAACAAACATATGAGAAATTCGCTTGGATTTATTTCAGAGCTTCTTTTTCATCTCCTTTTTCCCTTTCGATTTTCTTCAATTGGTTTTATTCATCTGTTCAAATTTTTTTTTCTAAATTTCCTTCTTCATATAGTAAGTTCTGTCTCAAACAACAAGTATTTATCCAAACGCTTCATGTCAGTCTGGTCACATGAGCGCGACTATCAGCAAGTCTTGAGTGATTTGACCAATCTGCAACATGAGGACATATATGTGGGCTCGCTTTTCCTTCCAGAGGAGGCGAAACCTCGCAATGAGGTTGTCAAACGAAATTACCTGTCCTTGTACGTTCGTTATCTGTCAGTCGCCAGGCGCCTTGAGGCACTACATAACACTGAGTTGCAACCCCAAAAAATTGCTGATGTGCGAACGCTTCTAGACTGTAGCCTGGGCCGTCTGTTGGAGATCAAAGAGATGATTGTGAAGCACTGCGGCAACTTTGTTCCCCTAGACGACGCTTTGTTGGACCTGAGAATGACTCCAGACCAGGCAGAGGCGCCCATTTGTTCCTATTTCCTGGAGGATCGTGAGGAGGAGCTTTGGGAGCGTCGTAGTTTCATCGCTTCCCTTCAGGCGCACTTCATGGAAACGGACCGGGATGCTCCCGTCTCAGCCGCCCAAAGGCATCCCCAGGCACTGGTGGACCCCTCCAAAGCCGTGGCGCCTCTTGTCTCCCGACGCCCCCTTGCAGCAGAGGGGACGCCCCCTGTTGCTGCCGCCAGGACGACGTCTAGTGTGGATGAAAAGCCGCCTCTGACGGTGGATGAGGCGGTTCTCATCTTGCAAACCTGCGAGCGCGGACGGCAGGCACGTCGACGGGCGACGTTTCAACTTGCCCTCCACAACCATGAGCGCTACCTTGAGCAGCACGGCAATGAATTCAACACCATCACCGGCAAGGACCGTGCGGCTGCTGTGGTGCAGCGTGTGGCTCTAGGCTACTTTGAGCGGAAGCGCGCGAAGCAGCGATATGAGGCGGAGAAGCAGTTCCTGGGCTTGATGCCCACAGAAGAAATACTTAGCAACGAAGAAGCCGCGATCGCGACGATTCACGCTCAGGAGAACAAGCTCCGGCAGCGTATGAATCTCCTCGAGCTCCGCCAAAAAACGATGAACATCGAGAACCAGATCAAATTCAAGGAGGGCCCCAAGACGATGGAGGAGATGCTGGACGAGATCCTCATGCACATGGCGTACGCGAGCATGGAGCGGCGGGGCGACCCTGCAGCGGCGGCCGCCGCGCTTCTCGACTTCCCTCCCCCGCGAGAGGGCGGCAGTCTGAAGCTGCTTGAGCGCCTTCCCACCGCGGCAACGGAGACTATCGGAGGAGGGGGTCGTCGAG